GAGCAGGTAGAGCCCTCTGCGAAGTCCCCAGAGTTTTCTTTTTACTCTCGGAGAGGAAGCAGGATGAGGCTTCCTATCCAGCTCGCCGCTGCTCCGGGCTTCGGGAGAACTCTGCACTTCACAGAGCTAGACGATGTGACCAACCTAATTAGCGAAAACTAATAGATTGCTTGAATAAGCAGGATGAAATCTGGATCTGGGACTCTAAATCGCAAGTATTTGTAACAACCCTATGATTGATTTTAAGAAAGAAGAAAGAGTGAAAGGGAAAAAAAAAGTTTAAAATGGCGGCTGGCTGAGGCTTGAGAAGAAAGCTGAAAACGAAAGTCCTTCCGTTTGAATGGTTTAATATGTTACAAAGTATCTGAAGCAATAGCGCTGGCTACAAGAGAAAAGAAAATTTTTTGTTTTATGTTTCTTCCTTTCTTAGAGACTTGATATTGATATTGTGTGGAGAGAAGTCTTTTTCTTTAAAAAGAGTCTGTTTGTGTGGCAGGATGGCATTAAAACTGACAAAGCCAGACAACCAAGCTGTGGGGGGGGGGGCTCCCCCATTTATAAATTACAAGAGCAATTTTTGAGCTTGCAGATGCAGAAGAATGGTTTTAAAGATTTAAAGGAATTTGTTGTGGAGGAGTTGGCAAGACATGATGAGATTATGAACCAGAATCTTGAAAAATTTAGACAGGAAATTAAAGAGTTGGTTCAACAAAAGTATGATAACCTGAAGTGCTATATTGTAACAGCTTTGAAAAGCTTTTCAGAAGTAATTATAAAGATGGATAAAGATATCAATTTAGAAATAGAGTCTAAAATGAAGGAAGCTGATTATAAGATTCATAATCTGGATAATAAAATACAAAGAATTGAAAATGATTTGACAATGTTTCAAGAAAATAGCTCAGAAGTAGAGTCTAAAATGAAGGAAGCTGATCACAAGATTTACAATGTAGATAATATAAAGCAAAGGATTGAAAATGAAGTTACAATGATACAATTCAGATCCATGGAATTTGCGATCAGAATGAGGGGACTACAGGAAAATACAAGAGAGGACTTGAGAAAGATGTCTGCTGAAGTTCTGGCTGTGATTTTAAAGGTCAGCTCTGAAGAAGCATTCTGTAAGATTGATAAGGCCTACAGAATAAATTCCTGGGTGGCAAAGCAAAGACAATTGCCTAGAGATGTGGTGATTTATTTTACTGATAAAGGAATAAGAAATGATATTGTGCAAAAGTCTTTTAACTCCACTCTAGAAATGAATGGAAGGAAGATTTGGATATATAAAGAGCTGCCGTCCAAGATGTTAAAAGATAGAAAGGACTTTGGATTTTTGGTGACTGAGCTAAAGAAACAAAACATCCCATTTAGGTGGGATGCTCCAGTTGGTATAATATTGAGATATCAAGGAGAAAGATATCAATTAAACACTGTTGAAAAAGCGGAAGAATTTTACTACAAGGTTTTTAAAATGGGCCCAACATCTCCACATATTTATTTTATTTATTTTTATTAATTTAATTTGTATACCGCCCTTCTCCCAGAAGGGACTCAGGGCGGTGAACAGCCAAAATTAAAAAACATACAAATGCAAAAGTTAAGATAATTAAAAGAATTAAATCATTGGCTTTAAATTTAAAACCCCAATTCCATAAAATTTAAATCTAGATAGACGGTTTCATCCAGGAACTGTGGGAGCTGTCGCGCAACCACACTCTCCACAACCTTCGCAACAAAGCGAAGGTTGGAGACCGGACGATAGTTTGCCAAAACGGCCGGGTCCAGAGAAGGCTTCTTGAGGAGGGGCCTCACCACCGCCTCTTTCAAGGCGGGAGGCAAGAAACCCTCTCTCAGAGAAGCATTTATGATCCTCTGGAGCCAGCCTCGTGTTACCTCCCGGGTGGCCAGTACCAGTCAGGAGGGGCACGGGTCCAATAAACATGTGGTTGCGTTTAATCTCCCCAGGATCCTGTCCACGTCCTCAGGAGTCACATATGGAATACAGGAGGGGGATAAAGAAAAGCAAAATGAACAAGAGATTGAAACTCAGGCTAAGCAGATGGAGATGGAGGTAATGGAAAAACGACAAGTTATAGAGGGCTTTTTGGATGAGCCGCTTTTGGATTCTCCTTCAGAGGCTATAGCTGGATCACCTATAAATACAAGAGAGGCAGCTTTGGATCTCGGTTTGATGTCTTATCAAGTTAAAGACCAGCATGTAATTCAATCAGCTGATATACAAGTCCTAGAAAGGCAACCAGGATGGAGATCTAAACCACAACAAGTTAAGAAAAGAAGAAGCAGATTCTACAAAACTAAAAAATTTTAAACTACAATTCTTTTTTAGCCAACAGATTAATGCCAGTTATTTAAGAGACGATTAAATATAATAAGCGGGATTTATAGAAGGCTGATACATGAAAATATAGCTGAGGCAAATTATAGACTTATACTATTTTGAGAAGAATAACAGATCTCTGCAGTGCTGGTGTTTTTGGGATGTGGAAGAAGGCCTGTGATTGAGCGGATTGGAACTTTCTATTTTGGACTCTCTGAAAAATGGATTATGTACATGTTGAGCCATAAGGCAAGAGAACTATGGAATTGGGGCATGCAGATGATCTGGCTGTTACCCTAACGTGGTTGTTGGGATTAATAATCTAGACAAAAGACATTACAGAAGACACCATATGGAATATAAATATAAAGTCACTCGGGTTTTTTTTTATATATATACAGAAATACTTATTAATGATGGGGGCAGATGGTAATTGAAAATACTGAATAAACTGTTGGAAGCAGGACTTGATGTTACCCTAACATGGTCAATATTAACAATCTAGTTGAAAGACATTACAGAAGATACTATATGGAATACAAATTTAAAGTCATTTGAGGGTTTTATTTATATATGGAAATATCTTTTAGTAATATGGGCAGAAGAATAAAGATATTAAATGTATTATGTATTGTAGACCTGTAGGAAAGTGGGTGAAATAAAACTGATATGGTATAAGGTGATAGGTAACGTTACTGATTGCTTAGTTTAGGAAAAGGGATGTTATGTTTAGATATTAATATACTTAAAAGATTTGAATTAAGAGATATACGTATGGGGGTGGAGGAAATGGGTGGATTATGAGTAGAATAAATGCCAAATTAGGATTTATTATATAGTTTCATAGCCGAATGTTGTTTTTGAAATGTATAGTATATGGGGGACATAATAATAATGTTAGAAAGAAATGTTTAGCACATAGGGGGTGGTGTAAAAGGGTGGTAAAGTATTATATAATGTGATATTAATTTGGATTTCATCTTGTAGAAGCCATGGGGGGAGGGGAGAGGGAGGGGGGTTTAGGGAGCGGGGGGGGGGAAAGGGGGAAAAATTTGTATTTGAAAAACTTTCAATAAAAAAAAAAGATATATACACATACATACACACACACATATTACAAACTATTCTAAAAATATGAGTTCCAGGTATTTGTAAAACAAAAAACAGACATAAACACTCAGCTCCATTGAGTTGCCCAGACTCCACCCTGCAAGGGATTATGGGGGGTCGTTAAAAGAAGACGAGGATGAAAGATGGTGACGGTTAAATTTGCAAAACCTTATTTCAGATCCATTTTGGACTCTATATCCAAATGTTGCAATTTTCCCCAATCAAAACTCTTATTGGCTATTTCTTCCAAAAGAATGTTGAAACTTCCATTTTAAAACTTCTTTTGTGGAGACTTGAAGGAAACTCACTGCCTTGATCCAAAGATTCCTGATTGTTGAACAAGCCGTAAAGAAGCAATTAAAATCTCACCAGGCTCAAGGTTGACTCAGCCTTCCATCCTTTCAAAGGTAGGTGAAATGAGGACCCAGTTTGTGGGGGCAATAAGCTGACTTTGTAAAAATATACAAAAGGATGAAGGCTATTGCTTAACACATTGTAAGCCGCCCTGAGTCTCCGGAGAAGGGCGGCATATAAATCAAATTAAAAAAAAAAAATAGAAAAGAGAAGTATGTGAACCGGCATCCGTAAACTGAGAAGCTGTGATGAAGCTGGCATCACAGGCAGCTGGCAATTCAAACCGTCCCTTTATTACTCCAAATTTCTCCAAACACTCCCACATTTCTGGCAAGTCCCAGAGCAAAGTGATCACACACACACACACACACACACACACACACACCTCCAGCAGCCTCTGGCTGTAAGTAGTCCAGCCCAATGCTGTGAGCACCACGGCTGCAAAGCAAAAAATCCAGCAGGGCCAGATGAGGAGTCCAGGAAGCAAAGGAGCAAGGCAATTAATCCAGGAAACCAGGAAGAAAGCAGGAAATCCAGGAAACTTCAAACATTGGTCACTCAACACTCCAGGAATTCAGCATCTGTTCCCAAAAAATGCCCCTCCCCACAGTGTCTCCTTAAGTCTCAGTCCCCAGGTGTGCATTGTAGAGATGGGCGGGTTGCTCTCTTCCCAAGTAGTTGGGTCAGCCTGCGCTGTTCTCGCCTTCTCTCCACTCTTCATGCTCGAGGATCAGGAGGGGGTGGTCCTTGCTCATCGCCTGAGCTCTGTCTCTCATGTTCACTGCTTAGTCTCTCTTGGTCATCCTGCCCCCCTTCTTCCCTGCCTACAAGCCATCCTAATCCTGAAAGGCTCTGGTCTGACTCGGCCTGTCCCTCCCCATTTTCCTCCTAAGCCAACAAAGCCACCCCCTCCATCTCCGTCGGCTCTAGTTCCGGCTCGTCTTCCTCCATAGATTCATGTCCCGATGGGGGTGGGATGGGCATGACAGAAGCTTTGAGCAGAAAGATCTCCCATCTCTCAGAGCTTTAAATCCACCACAGATCACTGAATTCTAACCTCCTTGTGAAGAGCCACTGTCTGGAGTGCTTGTGGGCGATCCCAACACTCTCCTTGTCCAGAGAGGAACCCTGTCTGCTTGCCGAGTCTTCATTCCACCGCAGTCGTTCACTTTGCTTCCGCTCGCCATTCCTTCCCAGGACGTCCCGGCAGTTGCACAATTGTTCGTTGAGATAACACGGGGTCAGGCACTCTGGCCTCCTCATTTATTTATTATTTATTATTTTATTTTATTATATTTCTATACCGCCCTTCTCCTGCGGGACTCAGGGCGGTGTACAGCCAGGATAAAACATAGCATATAAAATTTAAAAACATTTAAAAAAACAATTAAATAATTTTGGCCCAAATTTAAAACAACCCAATTAAAACTGAATTTCGATTAAAAACTGAGAGGATGGGATCAAGCCAGCACAGCTAGATGGAACAAGTGTGTCTTCAGGGCCCACCGAAAAGTCCGGAGGTCTGATATCATGCGTATCTCGGGGGCAGGTCATTCTAGAGGGTAGGTGCTGCCACAGAGAAGGCTCTCCCCCTGGGGGTTGCCAGCCGGCACCTGAGGAGGCCCTCTCTATGTGAGCGAACTGGTCGGTGGGAGGCTATCGGCGGCAGAAGGCGGTCTCGCAAATACCCCGGCCCTAAGCCATGGAGCGCTTTAAAGGTCGTCACCAACACCTTGAAGCGCACCCGGATGACCACAGGAAGCCAGTACAGCTCGCGCAGGAGAGGTGTCACGTGGGAACGCCCCGTCGCTCCCATAATCCCCCGCGCGGCCGCGTTCTGGACCAACTGCAGCCTCCAGGTGCACCCCAAGGGGAGCCCCATGTAGAGAGCATTGCAGTAGTCAAGGCGGGAAGTGACGAGTGCTTGAGTGACCATGCGTAGGAAGTCCTGATCCAGAAAGGGACACAACTGGCGTATCAGGCGAACCTGATAAAAAGCCCCCCTGGCCACGGCCGTCATGTGCTCTTCTAAAGACAGTCGTGCGGACACAGCCAGAGATCGCCAGCAGAGTTGCTACAAAGCCTGAATTAGGGCACCGATGGATCCCCTTCTTCACCCCCACTTAGTGTGGAGAGGGAGGGAAAGGGGGTGCACCTGGCTAGTAGACTCAGGGAAAGCACCAGGTGTTTCTCACCGGTGGCCGTTTTGCGTGCCCTGAAGCTCAAATATCAAGGGTCAGTAGATCGAGGAGACGCAGAAGGGCCAAGCTAGATGGCCTCAGGGTTCCTTCCCACCCCTTCCTCCATCCTGTGCATGGACCAGCCCCCAAATTGATGCAGTGATATGACATTGAACTAAGTGCCAACCCCCTCCTCCTCGTCAGTCCCTCTGCCAGCCGGCTCAGATTGTGCTAACTTGCCATTAGGCGAATCTGGCTGGTGTGGCTGACGTAGCACCCAGCTGTAACCTGAGTGTCCTTTGGGAAGAAAGAGGAGAAAGAAGCTGAGCGGCGCTTGCCCCCACCAGCCAGCCCCAACAACGCCTCTTGGCACCCCCAGAGACCCCCTTGTGCACCCCCTTCACCTGGCATCCAAAGAAACAGGGGGCTGGGAAAGCATTTGGGATGCTTAATTTCATTGGGGCAGCTGCCCCCTTGTTCAGGAGATAAGCCAGAGAAGGAGGAAGAGGTAACAAAAAGCTTGGCTTTGCTCAGAGATTCCCATGGCCCCCTTCATGCTTGGCACTGGCCCTCTCCCAATAAAGGAATTGGTACCAGGGGAGCACCCAAAGTTTCCTCACTACTGTGTCATTCCATCAAATCTCTGGGCACCTGGCTATACAATTCCCTCCCCCTCTCCCCCCACACGAGGGTCAAGTTTAAGGAGCCTGGTGGCGCAGCAGACTAAAGCACTGTTATTAACATCAAGCTGTCTGCAATTACTGTAAGTTCGAATCTCACCAGGCTCAAGGTTGACTCAGCCTTCCATCCTTTCTAAGGTAGGTAAAATGAGGACCCAGATCGTGGGGGCAATAAGCTGACTTTGTATAAATATACAAAAGGATGAAGGCTATTGCTGAGCACATTGTAAGCCGCCCTGAGTCTCTGGAGAAGGGTGGCATATAAATAAAATTTTAAAAAAAAAAAGTTTAGAGCCCAGGGCCATGGGGGTTAGCCAGCCAGCCCTTCCCATCTCTCTGCCAAAGGGAGGAGACTTTCCAAGTTAGGAATTCTCCCTTTTCTGCCGTGGGGACCGTGAGGGACCCTGGGCTCTCTCAGACTCTTGTTGTGGACTTTTGGTCCTGACAGCGTGCCAGGGGCTGCCTCCCCATGGCTGAAGAGGGGGCACAGCAGCTACAGTTGCCTGACACTGAGACCAGAACAAGGAGAGGTGGGGGTGGCACTGCAGCCAAGGGGTGGTCCCGGAGGGAAGCGAGGGGCACTCACAGTGCTGAAATTCCTGGTGCCACAGGGCCGGTTTCCAAAGCGGCATTCCAGCAGCATGTCCTCCAAGTCGTGGCTGGTCCGGTCCACGAATTCACGCAGGTTGAAACTCCTGCTGGGGAAGGCTCGGGCGGCCTCCGGGTCAGGCCAGCCCAAGGCTCGGCTGTATTCTGGGTAGTCAGATAGCTCCACACCCAGCAGCTCCCGACCTACCCAGTGCAGATCGTTGGGGGTCAGCCGGGACCGCCGGATACGGTTGACGTTGCAGAAGGAGACAGCTGGGAACGTGAGCTGCCGGCCCTCTCCTTTGTCCAGCGCAGTGACATGGTCGTACCCCGCATAATACTGGACCCGGTCGGCCACCTGGTACAGGACGATCCCCAGGGCAGCCAGGACTGCCGCTCCCCAGGCTATGCGGCGTGGTGTGAGCGGCCCCGCCAAGAAGACGTGGCTGATGCCATGCAAGGTAGACCTGCCAGCAAAAGCCACGATGTTGGGGGCTGCCTCACCCTCCTGAGCCTCCATCGCCTTTGACTCAGTTTGCTTTGTGCTGCTGGGACGCCGTCACTTCTCTCTGCTGCACCCAGAGGATCGTGTGTCGAACCTGGAGTCAGGCGACACCAGTCCTGGTGGAGGGAGGGGCTTGGCTCATCCCCCCCCTTGTCAGGTGGGAGCAACTAGGGAGGGAAGCGGCGAGGCACACCAAAGGATGCCGACAGAGCCCCTGGCTGGGAAGCCGTTCCTCCCTCGAAGCCTGCATCTGTCTGGCGTAGTTGCGAGCACTGTACAGTACTGGTTGAACTCAAGGGAGTGGGGTGCGATGAAGTCCATGGGAGAACTCTTGCTCCCCTTTTCTGACCAAGCAGTCACCTCCTCTGCCCCACCAGGGCTGAAAAGAGGGGTTCTGCTAGGCCAGGAGTCCCCCTTGCTCCCCGGTTCTCCATGCATCCATCTCCTTTGGGCTGCTCATCGGAGCAAGCAGACGGGACCAGGCACGGACCTTGACAAGGAAGACATTCTAGGATGGCTGGGGGAGAGTTACAGAGACCCTCAGCATGGGCACTGCCCACTGCAGCCAGGCACCCATGATTTCACCCAGCATGGCGTACTTGCTGTACTGGTGCATAACAGCGAACCGGTGTTATCCACCTGGGGCAGAAAGATCCCTGGCGTAGCCAGTACTGACGCGTCCCTCCCCCTTGCCCAGATGCCCCCTAAAGCACTGGAGGCCCAGGGCATTGAGCAGAACCCCTTCCCACCAGCACCCAAAAGAAGCTAACCAGGGTCCACATAACCTCCATGCAAAGCCAGGAGCATGATACGCCAGCCGATGGCAGGAAGGCAGCACTCCATGGGTGGAAAACCAGAGATGGCCAGACCGGCCACAGTGGGAGCTCCCCACTTCTCTTTGCCCCAAATGCAAATCAGAGGGTGGGCCATTGCCGGCCTGTCGTGGGTCAGCATTCCACCAAGGCCTGGGCAAAAGGATGGTGTAGACAAGCTGGGTCACACTGCAGCCAGGAAGGAAATATTTGGTGGTTCCCAGCCTAGGCACAGTGGGAGGGCATATCACATCCATTCCAGACACTGCTGGACACAAAGGTGTTGTATGAAAGAGAGCGGGTCGTGATTGCCACGGAAAGACGCTGGCACAGCTACAGCTCTTCCTCTGTGGGGAGAACTTTTCCCAAGTTCAACAGACGAAACATTTAAAATTTAGCTTATTAAGACTTCCTCGGCGATACAGAGCTAGGGCGGGTGTCAGCCACCTGGGGCTCTTGAGCTGCATGTGGCTCTTTGGGTCCTCTGCTGTGGCTCCCTGTCGAGTGATCCCACCACTGGCTGGCCCCAACCTCCCAGTCACTCCTTGCCTGGCTTGAGAAGGTAAAGGCGATGGCGGGGGATGGAGAAGTGACCACGGCAGAGAAAGAGAGATACAGAGAGAGGAGGGGAGAGAGAGGAGAAAGAAAGAGAGAGGTGTCAAAAGGGTTTTGTGGTTCCTGGTGTTTTTTAACAACCGGTTCTCCGCCCTAATGACTGGCTGGGTAGGCGTGGCTGGGGGCGGATCATGTGACTGGTGGAAGTGAGTGACATTGAGTTGGCCATGCCCACCCAGGTTTTGTGGCTCCCGGTGTTTTCTTTTCTGTGGGAAGCGGGTCCAAATGGCTCTTTGAGTGTTTAAGGTTGCAGACTCCTGGGCTAGGGCATCATACTAGACCTCAAGGAGTCTCCCCCCCCCCCCGGAATTCTGCATGCTGTAGCGGGAAATACTTCTTGGCTATGCATCGGAGCACCCAGCTGGCTCCCATCTTGCCTCGGCCAAGAACTCCTTGTGGGCATGAACTGGATTTGCCAGACTGATGAGAAAGCAGCCAGACTGACACCCAAGTCCCAAGGGTGTGTGTGAAGTGACAAAATGGCATCAGGTTTATTTTGGAGGTAGGGGGTGTTGGCAGTGCCTCCGCCGTAAACAATCACTCAATCAGAGTTTGTCCAACCTTTTGCTCAGCGTGCTACGTGGGAGAATATATCAAGGAGAGGATTACGTTATGCTTCGTATTTGAATGTACAGGATACGCTAGAGCAGGGGTCCACAACCCCTGGGCTGCAGCCCAGTACCCGATCCACAGCCCGTTTGGAACTGGGCCGCAGAAGTGGCAGGCGAGGGCACATACCCAAATGTATTTGCGTGAGAAATAGAGCCGCGTACGTGCGTGAAGCTCCCACGGCCCCGTCCCTTCTCTCCCCACCGGCCCACGAAGCCAGAAAGGTTGTGCCAGAGCAGCATTTCTGAACCACAGCACCTTTTAAGACAGGCACAGCCTTTTCTAGCACAGCCAGGTGCGGAATTCTGGGAGATAAAATCCACTGCCTTAAATACTGCCAAGGCTGAGAAAAACACTACTCTATAGGGGTGTCTCTCTGACGATGGAGCCCACCCAGATGTAATTCAAGGACCTTCTCAGGACAGCCTGTCCAGCCAAGAGGCGGCACCGGAATCTGGGCACCAGAGCACCGGGAACCTCAGGTGCCACCGGCCACAGTTCAGCCGCAAGGGCTATTGTCCAGCCACAAGGACGCCTCCAAAGGTTTTCTGCGTAGAGTGTTGGCGCCCTTCGGTTCTGTTCTAGAGTAGCGGGCTCAAGGCACCGGAGAGTGGCTGGACAAGCCCAGGAGACTTCGCTTGGGCTCCCACTGAGTCCCCGGAGAGCCTCCAGATTTCGAGGGGAGGAGTTTGGAAGGCAGACCAAGTCGCTTCACCTCAGGGCAGGTATGGAGGGAGGCCTTTGCAAAGGGAGTGGAGTGTCAGGGCAGGGAAGCGCAGGTGGGACGTGACTGGGGGGAACTGATGACGGTGAACAGCTGGCTAGAACGAAAGGACCGGCAGCCTTCAACCTCCACAGCTGTGGCCAAGGAAGACAGAGGAGGAGGAGGAGGAGGAGGGAGGGAGGGGCAACCTGGAAGGAGCAGCCCAGCAGAAGAGACCAATCTAACCCTGTAAGACATTCGGGAAAGGAAGCTGCAGCTGTGGAGGGGAGGCTGTCCCATCCCTGGTGGGCCAGAATCAGAATAGAACCTGGAAGGGACCTTGGAGGTCATCTAGTCCAGCACCCTGCTTGAGCAGGAGATCATATATACCATTTCAGACAAGTGTCTGTCTCTTCTTAAAAACCTCCCAGGATTAAAAACCACTTTGTCCATGGAAGGGGGGGAGGGGGGGAAGCAGGAAGGCCCTTCCCTGCTCGAGAGGCTGCCATAGCAACCAGCTCAGCTGCCTCGGAAGATGGGAAGATCGTCATGGCAACAGACAACCCCAAAAAGAGTGCCTGGACTAGGTGCCAAAGAGGGCGGGGGCGGGGCAGGGGCAATTCTGAGGAGGGGAGCAGGCCAGGAAGTGTCTTGGGTTGAGAACTCAAGAGGTGCTCCAAAAGATCCCCCTCCCAGTTTTACGCCTGCAGGAATGCCAGCTGTCCAGTATCCTCACTGACAAGGGATGATAGGTGCAGTGCCCAGCCGTCTCCGGAGGGCCTTCAGGACACGTCCCGGTTGAAGCAGGCAGGTTATTGGTTGCGCACGAAGCATCCCCTGCTAAAGAGGGGTAGACTGTTCTTGAGCCTGGAGGCTCTACGGAGAAACAGCATGGTGGGTTTGGAGGGAGGGGGCGATGCCCAAACTCTTCCGAAGAGGAGGGGTCCCAAGAGCCCAGAAGCCAAGAACTAGACCCCCCCACACACACCTCTTCCAAGCTCTGACCCCTTTCCTCCCGATACTTCCCTGAATTGACAATCTGGGCTTAGCCTGCCCTACAAGTGCCCCCTGCCCCACTCCCCAGCGTCCAAAGGGGAACATCACCCCCACCCCTTGGCTCACGCCTTGGCTATCTGCCCCCTTTCCCATTTGAGCCGAGACCCATGCAAGGGGGCAAGGCAAAACCCCAAAAATCCTTTTGTGGCACAGCTGGGTGCCCAGAAGTGGGGGGGGCTGGGTGTTTCCTGCCTGAAAAAGGAGGCCAAACTCCACCCCCTCCCAGCCCCGCGATCAGACTCGGCACCCATCCCAGACAGAGGGATCTCCTCCTCAAATTTACAGGACAGCACCAAGGAACCAGTGCAGTGCCCAGCGGTTAAAACAGGCCTACCAAAGTGGCTGAGCCGGTGGGCTTCAGGCAGCCCACCCCACTACCCAGGAACCTTTGGTGTGGGAGTGGGGGGCAGAGTCCTGGGCCAGGGGTTGAAGGGGAGACCGAAAATCCTGCCTGGCAGGTCGGCTGCTCCTTGGCCACTCGAAGGCTGGAATCTGGGGAGAAAACGATTTTGGGGGTGCAGGAAGCGAAGAACCCCCCTTTGGGGCTCGATCATGAAGGGTCTTCTACCCACTGATGGGGCCCGAGGGCAGCGGGGGCTGCTGCGGCCCCCTCCTCCTCTCTCCTGATTGGCCCAGCCTCTACCCTTGGCTGGGCAAAGCAGGGGTCCAAGTCTTAAGCAGACCCCCCACTTTCAACTGCAGTCCTCCTTCTCAGGGAGAATGGGTTTCTTCCTTTGGGGAGGGGGCTTCTGGCCCACCTCCCCTCCTTCCTGCTGACCTCACAGAGGTTTCTGGGCTCCTCCCTCCCCTCCCCACCACGGAGATGCCCGCAGGTGGCCTGGCAGGAGGGAGTGGTGGGCCCTTCCAGGAAGATCCCAGAATTGGAGAAGGGGGCCGCCCCATCTTCCTTCAGGCCCCCTCCCCCAATTTCCTCCCCCCATTTCTGGCTCTTGGTGGCCCACAGCTGGCCACACAATTCTGCACCTCCGCTGGAGACAAACCCTCCCCTGGGCAGCCCAGAGACAAATACAAATGGTTCCCGACTTCCGACCGCTCGCTTAGCGACCGAAGTCACGACGGACCTAAACAAGGGATCCTTTTTCCACTCTTGACGATCTTTGCTGCATCCCTGGGGAATCCAAATTCAGATGCTCGGCCACCGGTTCCTATTTATGATGGTCGCAGCGGTGTCCCAAGAGCTGTCCAGCACCCTGTTGTCCTATTGGGGTGGCAGGTGGGGGACGGCGCGGGATTGGCGGTCCGCAGGTGGAAGAAGGTGGCCGAAGCTCTCTCCAAGGTGGATCTTCTCAACGGATCCCCGTCTCCCCGTTCCAGCCGTGAGACCATGGCCTATCATTCCCCCACCCCCAGCAAGACAACGGGGGGTGGGGGCGGTGGGGGGGTGGAGGCTGCTTCACTTAACATCCCTGTGGCTGTTTGAATTTGAATTGCAAGGATTTCCTTCACCAACGGGGTGGGCTTTGGGGGGGCAGGGAAAATTCATCAACACTTTCCAACCTCTCACTTAGCGACCTAAATTGGGGGGTCGTATGTCGAGGGCTACAAGGACAGTCCAGCGCACGGGGTGGGTAGGTGGGGTGGAAGCGTGCCATCTTTGATTTACGCACCCCAGATGGAAGGTGGCTCTCTCCAAGTGGCTGTTCTCAGCATCCCCCCCCTCAAATTCCAGACCCGGCTACCACCGCCCGTCATCACCCCTCCCCACGCCCCGCCCCTACATCCCCCTCCAGGCCGGCTGCCACTCACCAGGGTAAAGTTGTGGGCGCTGCAGGCGACCCCCCGAAAGGTGCAGTGCCAGATCATCTCCCGCAGGTCGTGGCCCGTCCGGTTGTAGAATTCGGCCATGTCGAAGGGGCGCGCCTTGAACCCCTTAAAGTCGGCCTTGTCCCGCAGGGCGGCCAGGGTCTCCGGGTCGGCCAGGTGGGCTCCGCGGACCTCGGCGCGGGCGTCCAGCAGGGCCAGCAGTTGCCCCGCGTGGTAGAGGTCGTTGCGCGTGATCTTGGAGAAGCGGAAGGCGTTGAGGTTGCAGAAAGTGACGGCCGGGAAGGTCAGGTTGGCCGCGGCCACCTCGTCCACTTTGGTCACCCGCGGGAAGGTGAAGAAGTAGCCCACTCGCTCGGCGCACACCAGCCCCAGCAGGGCCAGCGAGCCCACGAAGAACAGCGCCCACACCGCCCGGCGCAGGGAAAGCGAGCCGTAGCCGAAGATATGGCTCACGCCGTGCAGGGAGGACGCCCCGGCGAACATCTGGAGGCTGGACGGCCGCTCTCTACCCATGGGGCTCGGCCGCTCCCCGTACATGATGCGCCTTTTTCGGGGGCGCGCGCGACCCCCTCTCCTCTCAGCCGCGACCCCCTCCTCCTCCTCTTCCGGACGCTCCCCGACTCAACCTGCCATGCTCCTCCCGCCCCACGCCCATGCTTCCCGGCCCGCCGGCTCCTCTCTCCCCATCCCCCGACCCCCGCTTTGGAGGAGGGGGCTGCGGAAGGGGGGAAGGCTATCCCCACCCCACCCCCGGCTGGGCCAAGCGACCCCCGAGCCCGCTTTGGAGGAGGGGGCTGCGGAGTCGGCCGCCCCCCACCCCGCCGGCTGAGCAAAAACGCCCGAGCTCTGCGGGAAAGAGTGAAGGGGAGCAGGCAGCAGCTCGTCCGGGCAAGCCCCACGACCCACGCCCGCCTGCTCCAGCCGCTCGCTGATTTCCTTGTCTTTTCGAGGCGTGGGGAGGGGGCTGGCGCTGATTTTCCGTCCCCGTCGCCCCCTCCCCTCCCCTCCTCCGAGCGAGCCCCGACCGCCTTCTGGGTCCTAAGCACCGGTGCTGCCGGGCATCGGAGAGGAGGCGTGACGCGGAGAGAATGCGGGGTTGGCCGCTGGGGGTGGGGGTGGGGGGGGAAGGAGAGCGGAAGGCAAAGCTTTAGCCTGTCAGTCAGAATAGATCTGGAAGGGACCATGGAGGTCTTCTAGTCCAACCCCCTGCGCAAGCAGAAAACCTTATTCCATTTCAGACAATTCATTCATTCGTTCGTTTTCCCCGTTTCATCTTGCTATAAAACCCTCAAGACAGTGAACCTATCCTACAGATGTTCTGCCTCCTCTTTTCCCCACAACATCCCTGTGAGGCAGCTGGGCTGAGAGAGAACAACTGGCCCAGTCACCCAGCCAGCTGATCTTTCCTAGTTGGCCATATAACATCTGCAAGAAGATCACCAAGGATCCCCCAGTTCCTCCTCCCCCCTCCCCCTCTTCCAGCCTTCCAGCACTGATGATGTTCCCTAGTTGGGTCATGAAACGGCTACAAGAAAACCTCCCAGCTCAGGGAGCACCAAGGACCCCCCAGTCTTCCTTCTCCTTCTCTTCCAGCAGGAGACCCTTACAGAATCATAGAACAACCGAGTTGGAAGAGGCCTCGGAGGTCATCCAGTCCAACCCCCTCCTCAAGCAGGAGACATACCACTTAAGACAAGTGGCTGTCCAGCTTCCTCCTCCCTGCCAACCCCACTCCCTTCTAGCACTGATGATGTTCCCTAGTTGGGTCATGAAACGGCTACAAGAAAACCACCCAGCTCAGGGAGCACCAAGGACCCCCCAGTCTTCCTCCTCCATCTTTAATCTGACTTGTCAGGCTGTGGTACCCAGCGGCGGTCAACCCGGAGTGCCCGATGGCGGCTCTAAACAGTGTGATGGAAAGGTATCACAGCTTTCTGTGCAACAGCAGCAAGATTGTCAAAATTGTCGGTCCCTGTCGGTCCCATCTTCCGCTGTTCCGTCCAAACGGAAGAAGCTCTTGGATGAGAAGCGAAAGCTCTTCAAGAGGTTCGAGGGAGGAGGAGGAAGAGGAGGTGAGGCCTGATAGAAGGCAGGCCAAATGCAAAAGTCCATTATGAGATACAATTGAGATACAAGAAAGAGTATGCTTTTCTGGCAGATGAGCTGAGGAATCGACAGGTACAATACAGATGGGAAGTCCCAGTCGGATTATCAGTGGACTATGCAGGAGAGCGATATCGTTTCAATACAATATGCAAAGCAAGAGATTTTTATAGTAACATACTAAAGGCTGGACAACCACCAGTGCCAGGAGGTAAAAAAGCAAGAGAGGCGACAGAGGGAAGAAAAGAGGATCTGCAGAAGCAATCGGAAGGCGGAGCTATGAGTATGCAGGAGGAAGTACTGCAACTTTCAAGTGCTGTCCAAGCATGGGATATAGTTGAAAAACAAGAAGAAGGCAAAGATCAAAGACAAACCAGAGCAGCTACTAAACGTAAAGTTGAAGAGTTAAAAAAGTTACAAGAGCAGGCTTTATCACAAGAAGTGAATACTGGCGCAGAAGCTGTGGGAGGGGCGAGACCCAAAAGAAAATTCCAAGAGGATTATCAAGCGGTTCTCGCCAAGCTTCGAGAGTCTGAGGATGGCTTCTAGGTTTTTAACCTGGAATGTAAATGGTTTAAACTTACCACAAAAAAGGAAGAAAATATTTCACCACTTGAGACAATTTAAAAATGAAATAATATGCCTGCAGGAAACACATATAAGGACAACTGATCAAAAATATTTAATAAATACAAAATTGGGAACACATTTTGTTGCATCAGCCCCGGAAAAAAAGAATGGAATAGTGATTTACTTGAAAAGAGATTTGACGGCTAAATTAGTTGAGGCAGATCAACAAGGAAGATTTCTGGCAATTGAGATAATGATAGAAGGAAAGAAAACACTCTTATTGGGGATATATGCTCCCAACCAACAGCAAGAGAAATTTTATAAATTGATACATACAAAATTATTACATTGGGATTATAATTCATGTATATTGATGGGAGATTGGAACGGAGTGATAGACCCTAGTATTGATAAGAAAAGAATAGTACAATCTACCAAATTGCGATCCAGACTGCCTAAGACTTTTTTTGATATGATGGAGGATATGGAATTAAGAGACATTCGGCGTGAACGGAACTATAGAGAACAAGATTTTACATTTTTTTCAGATAGACATCAATCCTTTTCAAGAATTGATTTTATATTAATTACAAATGATTTTTTTTCCAGGGTAAAGAAGATAAAGATTTGTCCCAGAATTTTAACTGATCATATTCCAGTTTGAATGGAACTGGAGTGTGGGGAAAGAGCTAGGAGAACTTGGCGGTTAAATGAAAACCTTTTCAGATATGAGAAAAATGTAATAGAATGTAAAAAACTAATGAAGGAATTTTTTGTTTTTAATATGAACAAGGGAACATCTATGGATATGGTATGGGATTCTAGTAAAGCATATATGAGAGGAGTTTTGATAAATATGAATAATGTTTATAGGCGTAGACAAGTGGAAAAAAGGAGGGAATTAGAGGAAGAGATTAAGAAAAAAGAAAGGGTGTTAATTGATAACCCAGGGGATAAGAAAATCAAAGAAGAGATCAGTCTATTACGTGGGCAATTTAATATGATGCTTTCAGACCAAGTGGCAACCAATCTACAATATGCTAAACATAATACTTTTTGTAATGCAAATAAACCAGGTAGATGGTTGGCATATATGTTGAGGAAAAAACAAAAATCTCGTACCATAGAGAAAATAGAGTATAAAGGTAAAGAGGTGTATCACCAAAATATGATTAAAAAGGCATTTTTAGAATTTTATGCAAGACTGTATACTGCAGACAAAATACAAGGTGCAGAGGTAGAGACATATCTGGATAGACAGAATATTCCAATAGTCACAGAGGAACAAAGAGAACGGTTAAACCAATTAATAACAGAGGAGGAGATCCTCTCAGCAATTAAACAGTTAAAAACTGGTAAGGCTCCTGGCACGGATGGACTAACAGCTGTGTATTATAAATATTTACAACTGGAGATGGTTCTACCTCTTAAAGAATTATTTAATAGAATTCAGCTGGGTGAAGGG